GGGGGGGTTACAATTCTAAAGTCCCCTTGCAGTTATTAATTTTATCCCTTAAAACTGACCCCCAAAAGGTTTCACTCAAAGTTCATTAACAATATGTTTATCCCTCATATCATGTATCTTGTGAACCTGTTGTTTTTCCCCTTCATGCTTGGTATCATTTTAAAGGTCTTTCTGCGATTTGGTAAATTGGTTTCAATTTCACAGCAGTCACTTATATTATGAGAAATATTGAAAACTTTTGTAGAATTGTGTTCTGCTGAGGAGGGGGTGTGTTCCCCTTTAGGGGTCTGTGGGAATGTTTATCTATCTCCAGCCAGATGTGACCCTGGAGCACAGAACCTAACAACCAAAAGGTCTTTTATGTTTTTACAGCTGGTTCGAAGATTTCTTTGTTTTTCTTATTTTGGATATATAAGGGAAGTGACAAAACACAACTTTGGGATTCTGTAGTCAAAAAAAAAAAACCCCTATGCAGTGTGTGAGAGTCTCTGGAGCTCTGCACCAGAACTCTCGCTGCTGTGTGTCTCTCTGCTGTCAGGTATGATTCAAAAATGTTATTGTGTTAAACACAATGTGCCCATAGAGCACACCGTAGTTGTTTGTGCTACTACATGTGCACATAGGCTAGTTAAGTTTATTCTTTAAAACACAAGATTTCTTTGCTGTAAGTGTTCTTTGAATTACTTAGGTAAAAGGTTGTTGATGCTATGCATTTTAGATTTGGATAGCTGTTACATGTGTGACTATGTTAAATTTGTTTGTCTCCTGCGTGGAACACTTGGCTATTTTCCATATAGCTACAGTAAACCATGTACAGGAGCAGGGTTGCCACGCGGCTACAATGTGATTCATAATTGGATTATCTTTTCTAAATTGGCTTCTAATTGTTTCATTATGTAATTGGCATGATACAATTTTACCTGACTAATAAGAAATTGTTATATTTGATGTATTCTGATCTCTTCTGAAATCATTTTTCAAGTAGATTAATGTGTAGTGGTATTTCCGCAAATCTGCGTTCAGGACAGATCATACGGAAGCACCAGTGGATGAACCATGGGGAACACTATTAGGGGCTTCTGATTTCTGACTGTCGCTGGCTTAACACGGTGTAGCTCTCGTGGTTATAGGAGAAAATACACTTTTTGTTATGAGCACGCAGGGTGCAGCTCACTTAAAGGTATTATAACCACTCTGCATCCTCTGAGTAAGTTCAGAACTGACGAGTTTGTGTCCGTGGGTTCACTATCGGCCGAGTGCAATTCCTGTGCGATACCTGGTCCCTAATGAACGAAGAATTGAAAGTACGGGATTTCCAGAATACTCAAATATCTAAATTAATATACAGTCGATATCTGTGATCAGCTTTTAATTAGAAATATTGCCTAAATTTAATGATCACGTGAAATTGGAGTCAGATTGAAAACGGAGCTAGACTAAAATTTAAACTAAATCCTGATAAATTCAGAAGCGCAAGTAAATGACCGAATAAGCATTAAACCTGCGACCAGGCCGCTGGATTCCACTTTTTGGGCCGGTGGGTGGATTCTTACAATGACCAAAATGACAAAATATCACTATTTTTTATTTGGGAAAAAAAATTATTTAAATAGCTTGAATGTAACTCTACAACCTTGCTTTATTTAGTATACATAGATCCATGAATAAGTAAATTAGTCCCTATTTCCACTCAGTCACATCAGCTATTGATCCACTCCCTTAACTGTAGTAAAATCTACACAGTGGAACTATTGGTTTAATTCAACCATATATGTGACCCTGGACCACAAAACCAAGTAGCACGGGTATATTTGTAGCAGTAGCCAAAAATACATTGTATGGGTCAAAATTATCGATTTTTCTTTTATGCCAAAAATCATTAGGATATTAAGTAAAGATCATGTTCCATGAAGATATTTTGTAAATTTCCTACCGTAAATATATAAAAAAAATGTATTATCATTAGTAATATGCATTGCTAAGGACTTCATTTGGACAACTTTAATGGTGATTTTCTCAGTATTTGGATTTTTTTGCACCCTCAGATTCCAGATATTCAAATAGTTGTATCTCAGCCAAATATTGTCCTATCCTAACAAACCATACATCAATGGAAAG